TCTCTCCCTCTCTCTCTCCCCACAGGGAAACCAAAGGGCAAAGAGGAGAATTTGACAAGCTTTTCTCGGCATGGTCTTTGCCAGCTCTCTGTATCTTTGACAGTACAGAATTTTTAGGCCCTACTTCATAGGCATTTTGTTAAATTGAATTATAATATGTCTCGATCAAAAAAAAGAAAAAAGCAGGAAGGAAGATGACAAAGAATGACAATTTTTCTCTTTGGACATAATGAGAAAATGGAACCCTTGTAGTTCACCAGTTCATGACTTTGCTGAGAATTCTAAATAAAGAGCAAGGGATACAAAATATGAAATATAACCACTACTGTTGAATACTCCTCTTGTTTAGTAAAATTCTTTATCATTTTTAATGTTTTTTATTCTTTTTACTCTCTTTAAAAATAAAAGCAAAATAGAAAACACACACACAATTCCAGTCTATAAGAAACAAACAATAAACATCTGAAGAGATGAGATAGTTATCCATCTTAAAGGGTGACAGGTGCAAAACCTTTCAGCTAAATCTGAGTCACGTACCACACACACTCAGCATAGAGCAGGATTGCTTACAGCTGGAGTGGACGTGGGAGGCCTTCCCAGAGGAGACGAATTTTGAGGTCAGTTGGAAGGAGGAGGCGATGGGGGAACAACAGGTGAAACAGTCCAGGAAGGGGATCAGCATGACCACACGCACAACAGAAGAGCCAGTGAACTCTTGGGGCAGTATGCGGTACTTTGGGGACAATGACAGATAGTACAGGTTGAGGGCTCTTTTTGCAAATTGATTGGGACCAGAAATGCTTCAAATTTCAGATATTACAGTATCTGCACATGCACAATGAGCTCTCCTGGGGGTGGGGCCCAAGTCTAAGTATGAAATTCATTCTTACACAAAGCCTGGAGGTAATTTTATAAGTGCTTTTGAAGTACCTATATGTTTTGACTGTAATGTAGCACATGAAGTCAGTGAAATTTTCCGATGCAGCGTTATGTAAGTGCTCAAAACTGTCCAGATTCTGAAGCACAAGTCTAAGATCCTGTGATCCCCATCAAACCCGGGTATAGAACCCTGTGGTCTAAAGAATTATGAACCAAAGTACATGTGTTGGCCCATTAGCACCCCAAATGCATTGGTGAATGAGGAGAACTGTAGGAAGCACTCCTGTTAGAAAAGGAAAAGGAGTAGACACATGATGGACATCGCAACCCTGAAGTCCTGGTAAAGCACGGCTGCGTCCCTACCACGGGGTACAAAATGCAACTTTGTATGTCATGAATCCACTCCCTTGAGAAGAAAGGAGAGGCAAGAGGCAGGAAGAATTTCCCAGACCTGTGTTCTTATAGCTTTTAGAGAATACCATGACCATGACATTTTTTCCTACACAAAAAATTATGACCCAATTCTGTGTTTGACTTGTCCCTAAGTCCACATTCTTTTGCCACTTAGAGATCACCGGAAAGAGCGATGATAAGTTGGATGAGAATATGCGCACTGTCAGACTGCTGGCGCTGTCATGTTCTAGCTCAGCACCCCACGAGTATACGTCGTCTCTCTGCACTTCAACCTCCTCGTGTGTAAGTCAGGAATAAGAGTGCCACTCTGAAGAAGTTATGAAGAAAATTCTATAAGGAGAGAAAGCAAAGTCGCTCTTGCTCAGGGAGTGTGACCTTCACCGAGCAGGTGGGCATTTCTGGGTGCCCCGATTCAGTTTCCTTCCCACCTCCCAGTCTGATTCTGTACATACTGAATGTCGTTGCAGAGTGTGCACGAACTGGTCATCTTAAGAGAATGCCAGAACCTGTCCAGATTTTCATGAATGCAGACAGGTCTACCACTAGCAACCATGATAGCCGCAGAGTCAGCACCCCTGGAAGCCTATCTCAGTCACTTTCTTTGTCACTGGAACAAAATAACCAACACCAGCAACTTGAAGGAGAAGAAGTTTATCTTGGCTAATGGCTTCAATCCACGATTGGCTGCCTTACGGCAGAAATGCGATGGCTAAGAGCTCTGGAGGAGACAAAGGCCTGTTCATGCCCTGGTGGTCAGCAAGTAGAAAGAGAAGTGAATGAACCAAGAAGGGAATAAACACTTCCAGTCACCTGTCCCTTGACCTGTTGCTCCTCACCAAGCCCCACCTCCCAGCAGCCCCTTCAGCTCCATTCCTAATAGCGCCCTGAGCATCCCGCCGTCTTCCCAACAGGGGAGACTTGGAGGCCACTTGAGATCTAAGCCATCAAAGAGACGTCACGTGTCATACACTCTGCCAGGCATCCCACATATGACTTCTCACTAAAAAATAAATGTATAGCCGGCATCCTGCGCTGCGCGGCGCTGCACAGCGAAGATGGCGGCCTCCAGGTGGGTGCGTGCGGCTTTGCTCCTGCTCTGTGCCTCTGACCTACTGCTGCTGCCTCTAGCTGTGGTTTGTGCGGCCGA